GACTGAGAAAGAGAGTGATTTCCTGCTGCTGAAGAAAGGGCTGGATGGGGTATTAGGTCCACACTATCACCTGTCTGAAGACTATAAATTCCAAGTGCTGTTAGATCATCTCATATTCCCCAGCGCTTTCCAAATAGCTAAGAGGTATGTCCATGATCCCATGCCATACACCAAGGCCATGCAGGCGCTGCAGCAGCGCTATGGACAGCCCAGACAATTAGTGCAAGGTTAAATAAACACCATCCTTAATGCGCCTGCTGTGAAATACGGAGATGCAGGGAGCTTTGAGGACTTTGCTCTGTCAGTAAATAGCCTTGTTGGTCTGCTTAACAGCCTGGATGGAGCAGCTAAAAGTGAACTCTTGTGTGGCTCTCATGTGGATAGACTGCTTGCTAAACTCCCATCCTCATACAGGGACAGCTTTGCAGAGTATTGTTTAACAAAAGGCATTCTGCAGAGTGGCACTACTAACACCTACACACTCCCTGATCTTGCTGTGTGGTTAGAGAGGAAATCACAAACAATCCAGATATCCAGGCGAGCCACCGAGAGCTACACTGCGGACAAGCCACATTCAGAGCACAAGGAGCAGAAACCGTTCAAGCCCTCAAAACCTCAATCTTCAGTTTATCATGGCACTGATCGAGTCCCAAATAAGCGCTTTACTGACTCTTAACACATCTTCTTCTGGGAAGAAAGAGACAACTAATGGCAAGAAAAGGGAAAGTTTCAAGCCCTTTTGTCCCTTCTGCAGTACAGAGCACTATCTGAGCTCATGCCCGGACTTCAGCCAGCTGACAACCACACAAATAACAGCATGGATAAAAGACAATAAAAGATGCTGGAAGTGTGGCAGGGGGCATCAACCTGACAACTGCACTCTGAAGAAACCTTGTGCCACCTGTGGTGATCAGCATCTGCAGATTCTGCACGAGTCTATATCCAGCACAAATAAAAGTGTCCTTGCAGTGAGTGAGTACAGTATCCAGCGCCATCTACTTGGATCAAGTCACACACTCTGGCCGAGTGATGTTAAAGGTGGTGCCAGTGAAACTCCACAGTAAAGGTAAAACACTATCCACACATGCTATCCTGGATGATGGGTCCGAAAGAACCATCATTCTCCAATCTGCAGTGCACTACCTGCAACTGGACGGGGCAGAGGAGTCCCTCAAACTTCGCACTATCAGGCAGGAAGTGTCTGAGCTGCAGGGAGCCTCTGTGTCATTTGATGTGTCAGCACCAGGATGCCCTCAGGTGAGACATTACATCAGCCATGCCTACACTGCTAAAGAGCTAGACCTTGGTAAGCAATCCTGCCCAATGGATCTTCTACAGCAGAAGTATGCCCACCTTGGAAATATTCCAGTTAAAGCATTCAAAGGTGTACAACCTATGCTTCTGATAGGCTCAGACAACCCACAGCTTATCACTCCAACATCGCCTATCAGGATGGGGCCCCTAGGCAGCCCTGTCGCCGTAAAAACAAAGCTTGGTTGGGCTATACAGGGACCAGCTACTTTCCTCCATCAGCCCGCTGAAGCCACCTGTCTTCACACCTCATCATTCCCTCTTCCCTCTCAAGACCTGCGACACAGCGTCGAAAAACTATGGCAGCTAGATGTACTGCCATTTCGGCCTGAAAGAGATGTCACTCGATCTAAGCAAGACAAAGAGGCCTTGGAGACACTGGAGGAAAAGACAGTGCGTGGAGGGTGTTTCCCGCTATGCAACTCCTCTGCGCCGCAAAAATATGGCCAAATTAAAGACTCGCCCCGACGCAGTCATGGCTCTCCTGCGATCCACGGAGAGGCGCCTGGCTAAGGACCCTGAGCTGGCAAAACTGTACAATCAGGAAATCCACAAACTGGAGCAAGCAGGCTACACAGTCAAACTCACCCCTGAGCAAGCTGAAAGCACAGATGAGTCCTGGTTTATCCCTCATCACCTTGTACACCGAAACAGGAAGCCCAGAGTGGTTTTTAACTGCTCCTTCCATCACCAGCAAGGCTGCCTCAATGACCAGTTGTTACCCGGTCCAACCCTCGGCCCTTCCTTACTCGGCGTCCTGCTGCGATTCAGAGAACATCCTGTGGCCGTGAGTGGGGACATACGAGGCATGTTCCACCAGGTGCGCCTTCTCCCAGAGGAACAGCCCCTATTAAGGTTTATCTGGAGAGACATGGAGAGGGAACGGATCCCAGACATTTACCAGCGGCGGGTGCTCCCATATGGGACGACATGCAGCCCCTGCTGTGCCACTTATGCCCTCCAGCAGCATGTACAGAGCCACGGAGAAGAAAATGATGAAGTGGTGAACTCAGTTCTGCACTCATTTTATGTTGACAACTGCCTTCAGTCCCTACCTACAGCAGCTCAAGCTAAGCAGCTAATCGACAACACAAGGCAGCTTCTTGCTGCTGGAGGGTTTGAAATCAGGCAGTGGGCCAGCAATTACCCAGAGACTATAGCTCACCTACCTCCCGAAGCCAGATCAGAGGGATGTGATTTGTGGCTGAAAGCTCACCAGGCAGATCCTCAGGAGCCAACCCTTGGGCTCACATGGCACTGTCCATCCGACAGGCTCAGCTATAAATGCCGGCCAGTTTCATCTGACGATGCCACAAAGCGCAACGTCTACAGGATCTTAGCCTCACAATACGACCCACTAGGCTACATCACACCCTTCACCACACAAGCTAAAATCCTTGTGCAGTCTCTCTGGAAGAAGGAGACAAGCTGGGATGAGCCAATCGAGGATGAGCTACTTCACCAGTGGCAGGAGTGGGTTAGTGAGCTTCAACACCTGCCTAAAATCAATATTCCCAGGTGCTACACCACACCTGAAACTGAAAACAGCTCAATCCAGCTGCATGTTTTCTGCGACGCCTCAGAGCGTGCTTATGGAGCAGTGGCATATCTGCGGTTGCAGGCTTCAGATGATGTGGTCCATACCACCTTTGTCATGGCTCGTTCTCGTGTCGCTCCCAGAAAACAGATTTCAATTCCCCGCTTGGAGCTCTGTGCTGCTCTTGCAGGAGCCCAGCTGGCAAAACTCCTGATCACCGAGCTCACCCTTCTTATCAGTGACACCATTCTGTGGTCTGACTCTACAACTGTGCTTAACTGGATACACTCAGAGTCCTGCCATTACAAAGTGTTTGTGGGCACGAGAATCGCTGAAATTCAGGAGCTGACAGAGGCAGAGAAATGGAGATATGTGCCCACAAAACACAATCCTGCAGATGATCTGACCCGGGGAAAGACACTCCTGGATCTCTCTGCACCGAGTCAGTGGAACCAAGGCCCTGACTTCCTCAAACAGGCACCGGAATGTTGGCCTATTCAGCCTTCACAGAGGACAAGTGATGAAAGTGAGTTAAAGAAGTCTGCATTCTGCGCTCACGTTGCCGTCAACATTTCTCCTCTGCCTATCACTGCACAACCCCAGACGTGGGCAGAATTGGTGCAGACCACATACCAGTCTGAACACGGAGCCAACGGCCCATCCATGTCAGCCTCACAGCGCTTAGACACCGAAGTTCAACTCCTGAGACAAGCACAGCTTGACAGCTTTCCGGAAGAGGTAAATTCTCTACAAACCGGGAAGGAAGTGAGGACAAGCAGCAAGCTGAGTAACCTGTCACCAGAATATGATGCCAGTCTGAGTCTCATCAGAGTAGGCGGACGTCTTCCCAGGGCAGAAAATCTAGCAGCTGACACTCTCCACCCCATCTTGCTGTCACCTGATCATCCTACCACCCAGCTCATCATAAAGGATTATGACCACCGCCTACTGCATCCGGGCCCAGAGCGCGTCTTTGCAGAGCTGCGACGGATGTACTGGATACTGAAAGGCAGACAGGCAGTTCGTAAACATCAACGTCAGTGCCTGGAATGCAGAAAATGGCGTGGAAACCCTGTCGTCCCTAAAATGGCTGACCTTCCAGCCGCCAGGCTGCGTCTGCACTAGCCGCCAGGCTGCGTCTGCACCAGCCGCCATTCTGGTCTACGGGTGTCGACTGTTTCGGGCCTTTTAGCATCAAAGTAGGCAGACGGCAGGAAAAATGTTGGGGCATTATCTTCAAATGCCTCACTACCAGATGTGTTCACCTGGACCTGCTGGCCAGCATGGACACAGACTCTTTCCTTATGGCCCTGCGTCGCTTCATTTCACGACGAGGAAAGCCCTTTGAAATAATAAGTGACCAAGGTACAAACTTCAGAGGTGGAAACCGGGAGCTGCAAGAGGCTTTTGCTGCTCTGGAACCGTCTCTGCAAGAACAACTGAGTGAACAAAGTATCACTTTCCGCTTCAATCCCCCACTATTACATTACATTACATTACATTGCATTTAGCTGACGCTTTTGTCCAAAGCGACTTACAATAAGTACATTCGACCAGGAAGACACAACCTTGAAGAAAACAGAATCATATAAGTATATCAGGTTTCATAGAGCCAAACATTTCAAGTGCTACTCAATCTATCTACTACTACTACTACTGCTACACTATCTCCACACTTCGGTGGCACCTGGGAGCGTGAGATTCGATCCGTCAAAGCTGCACTCCAGGTGATCCTAAAGGGTCAGATCGTGTCAGAGGAAGTGCTCCTCACCGTCCTCATCGAGGTGGTGGGAATCCTTAATTCAAAGCCACTCCGCTACGTATCATCTGACATCGCAGACGAGGATCCCATTACTCCAAATCTGCTGCTCATGGGGCGGCGAGATGCCTCTCTCCCTCAAGCAACATATGGCCCAGGAGAGCTCCGCGGCCGACGTAAATGGAGACACAGCCAAGTCATCGCAGCCCAGTTTTGGACTCAGTTCACACAGCGTTACCTCCCAAGCCTGCAGCAGCGTCAGAAATGGCAGCAGTCCACTCCGGATTTAACTGTGGGACAAGTGGTAATGGTTGTAGACGCACAACTTCCACGTGCTCTTTGGCCTGTAGGCAGGGTTAAACAGGTGATGCCGAGCCCTGATGGAAGGATCAGGGTGGCAGACGTGTCCATAGGAAAGCACACCTATCGTCGTTCGGTAGCTAAGCTCATCATACTGCCGGAGATGCCTGCTGAGAATAATACATCATAGTCACAGGGATTTTTACTGGATCCAAATGTGCTGCACACATTAGGGGGCAGCTGTATAAAACTCCCCCATTACTTGGACTATTCCTTGCACCCCCTAGCATAAGCCCGAATGGTTTCAACCACATTGCAGCACTAACGTGCACTTGTTGTCATAACGAGATCGCCACACCAGTAGCGATCGGACAATTGGGAGTGTTGTTCAATTTGTGTGTTGTGGATATGTGTGCGTGCATGAAAATGTAAGTGAATATATTCTTGCCTAGTTTTGTTATTGGTGGTTTAATGTTCATAATACAGAGCTTACTCTGCAATAGACGGCAGTTAGCAATAACCGCTAACTTTGCTATGCTGACTATGGGACAGCACGAGGTGCGGCCGCACCAGGCACGCTCCCTCACATTGCATAATGAACAATGTAACGCCAAGTTGATGCAGGGGCCACATGTATGCAGTGTTCTTTATATTGTAGTCATTATAGAGACTTAATTGTGTGCATTCCTGTATGTTGTTCATGCGGGATTGTTTGTAATAGTTAATTACTTTATGTAATAACGTGTCACTTCAATCGCCATTCTGTTGCGGCCTTTGGCCAATAGAGGGCAGCATAGGCCAGCTAATTGTGCAATTTCTTTGTCTGCCCGGTCACTAGTCATTGTCCCTCTGTATTACATGTTTGTTCATACCTGTTTATCTTTATGTTACAGATACCACACCCATTCACACACCCATCCAACTACCATTGCATGTAAAATGTACTACCCTGGAAATCAATAAAGTAGTTAAACTGGAACAGCCTGTGGAAACCCATTCTTCCTTGCACGTCCGTCGCCAACACCTTCTGACAGAGGACAGGAAAATCTAGCTGCAGCACGACCTGTATACTTTTTTACGCCGTGTTCCCAACAGCCCGTTTGTTTCATCGTTTCTCGTCCACTTGTTGTAACTTACAATTATAATGACATTTGTATTAAAATGTGTCATTCACGCTAACTGAGAGGCATCCTTCTGTAAACTAGTATTGTGTGATTATGTTGCTGTTGATAAGAAAATGCTTGGAACTGAAACTGTCACCCACCCACAGTTTCACATCAATAATACAGATTTTAGGGAATAAAGAAAATATGAGCCACACGCTCTGAATCCTTCTTGACTCAGTGTCTCAAACGTTTTACTTTTATTATTTTTGTAACCCTCTACCGCATACTGTTGCCCTCAGGCAACAAACCACTTTTTTCGACCTCACACTGGCCCTCTAAATATTTTTATTTTTTTAAATATACACAATGTCACCTGACATGCTGGTGTCCAATACAGGCTATTATTCTGTCTGACAGTGAGGACAGTGAAGGTCAACATAGGGTTAGGCACACAGACACACACACATAGACACAGGCACACACACACACAGACACAAACACACACATAGACACACACACACACACACACACACACAGATACACACACAGACAAACACACTCACACACACACACACACACACAGAGAGACACACACACATACACACACACACATACACACAGACACACACACACACACACACACACACACACACACACAGAGAGACATACAAACACATACACACATACACGTCACACACACACGTACATACACACAGATATACGCACAGACACACACACATACACACACACATACATGCACAGACACACACAAACACGCACACATACACACACACACACGGAAACACACACAGATACACACACAGACAAACACAGACACACACACACACACACCCACACACAGAGAGACACACACATACAAACACATACATACATACACACACAAACACACACACACACAGAGAGACATACAAACACATACACACAGACATGCACACACTCACACACACACACCCACACAGAGACACACACATACAAACACATACACACACACACGCACAGACACACACACATACATACACACAGACACACACAAACACACACGCACAGACACACACACACACACACACACACACACACACACACACACACACACACACACACAGAGAGACATACAAACACATACACACATACACGTCACACACACACACACGTACATACACACAGATATACACACACAAACACATACGCACAGACACACACACATACACACACACATACAAACACATACACACAGACACACCCACACACACACACACACACACGCACACATACACACACACACACACACAGAAACACACACAGATACACACACAGACAAACACAGACACAGACACAGACACACACACACACACACACACACACACACACACAGAGAGAGACACACACATACAAACACATACATACATACACACACAAACACGCACACACACACACAGACACACACACAGAGAGACATACAAACACATACACACAGACACGCACACTCACACACACACACAGAGACACACACACGCACAGACACACACACATACATACACACAGACACACACACACACATACACACACGCACAGACACACACACACACACACACAGAGAGACATACAAACACATACACACATACACGTCACACACACATACACACAGATATACACACACAAACACATACACACAGACACACACACAGACACACATCCACCCACCCACACACACACAGAGACATACAAACACATACACACAAACACACACACATGCAGACACACACAGACACGCACATCCACACACACACACACACACACACACACACACACACAGAAAACCTTTTGAATTCATATAGAGTTGTTTTTTCTATTTCTTCTGAATGGTAGAAATCCTTGGTGTTTCAATACCCTCGTAGCACAGTGTTGCCCTGAGGCAACAAACCAACCCCTGGTTGAGGGGGGGTCACATTTTATAATTGATATAATATCAGGGACCCCTAAGCTCCTAAAACACATGGTGAAACATTTTTTTTCCTCCCAAAATAAAAAGTCATGCCATAGAGGTTTACTGAAATGGAAAAGCTGCAGTTCCCGGTTAACTTGTGCTCTTAGTAAACTCAACTATCCTTCTCAATTCAGGCTGTCAATAAGGTGACTATTTCCCTCCTGCTCTAACAAGCTGCCAGGCATGGAGGGAGGTGGCAGAGACAGTGGGTGAAACTGGTAGGTTTTCGCCTGTTTGGGGAGTTTATATCCAGTGTACTTCGTTTGAATGGACAGCTAGAAGGCATAGACAGTATTTAGCCAGCATGGAATGTTGCGTAAAATAGCACCATACAAATTAATGTCATAAATGTTCATCATATAAAGTGTGACATGTAAAACCTTTTATGAAATTGACAGGAGAGATTCATGTGATTGGTTGTTGGTCGCGTTGCTCGCGTAAACTCCCCAAGCTCAAGACACGCCCACTGCCAAGCGGCAACGCACGCCTCCGTGGGAGCCGTCAGTCTGCTGCAAACTGTGCTCTATTTCGTTGTAATTCTACATGCTAAATTATGAGTTGTATACATTTTCAGACCAACAAAATGAGAAAGGATCTTCAGTCAGGCTGGCCCTAGAATTTTAACAAATCTTTATTTGATAGTTGACCGTGAAGAAAGAAGAGCTCTGATGATGAATTACACCTTGTTATTAAGTTTGGCTATATTTTCCTTGGTATATTCAACGTAATCCTTGTTACATTTAATGTTTTCCATGTAACATTCAATATTATCTTGTTACATTCCTGCCAATAAAGCATATTGGATTGATTTGAATTGTCAAACCCGGTGTGCATGTCCGTAGATTTTTCCTACAGGAATTACGCAGACAACAGGAAAATCCAATCTGCGCTTATTAAGTGTCAAATTTGTTTTCAAATCACATCGGCTGAAATCCATTATGAATGGAAACCAAAACAAATGTTTCTTTGCGATCAACAACATATTTATTACAAAAACATGAATTGTACTTTTAACTTCAAAGTTCGAGCAATTGTGTCGTATCTCAGAGTTTATTTGTTATCTAATGTTTGATCCATAGATGCTGCTTCAAGTGAAACATCTGTCAGATCATGGCAGACCCTCAGGAGCATATTGATAGGAGCACGATCGCTTTCACCAATAAACCCTCTATTATAGAGTAAAATCCAAATCAAGCGAAATGACATTCATTTTATTTTTTCTTTGGAAAGGAAATAATATTTCAATGACATTTTGTAAGATTGGTCATGGTGGTAAACATTGTTTTTGAAAGCTTTAGGAATCAAACTTTTTCTTTTTGAATTGTCATGTTTTCACAGTCTTTGTTTATAATCACTGCAACACCCTCCCTTTGCCCAAATCTCAGAAATATTTCTCATGGTCCACTTTGAGCTCAGGGAGATTCTGTGCGACCAAAAGTAACCGTCAGTGTTTATGTGGCAGATAAGGATTTTAAAAAAGAACAATTAAATCCCAATCAACTCGTTGACCTCCTCCCTAAACATCGGAGCACGTTGGCCTCATACTGTGGTCACCCTCATCACCACCTCATGGTTGTCTCTGCGCAGGCTATTTGGTCTTAACTGGCTGAGGATGTGTAAAATGGTGTAGCCACAGTGGTGGTTGAGAATAGTCCTGACATGTCGACTCGCCCTCTGTCCGCCGTCTGAGTTCCTCTCAACGCGAACTTTGCAAGAACTGATGGGGTCTCCTAAGTCCTTTGCTTTCTCATAGTTCAGCACTTTCCACTGCTGGTTCACCGCCTGCCAGCGCTTAAAGATCCGGTAAACAGACGATCCTTCATGGATTATAAGGCCTGGGCATTGGGACAAAGGGTGGGGGAAGTCAGGGCAGGAAACAGGGTTACATAGAAAAAACAGTTGTTTGTTCAATTACAATCAGGAAGTACTGAAAAGGGACACAAGGTACAGAGTGAATAACAACTACTATACGATCTTGACTTGTTTGTGGGTATTTTGGACCGATGTTTGGTAAAAAAAACGGTTTCAATTAAAATCCCTTCACAAGGAAAGAAAAAAGAAGCAGAGAAAGAACGCAACAAATACAGTAATGCAACACCAATGTATTATTTTATTTGTATTGTTGCACTTTATAATAAAATGTGCAAAGTAATCGATCAAACGAAAGAGATAATGATAACAACAGCTTTTGACTATTGGATGGATTGTCATACCATTTTATTCTTTTGTATTATTGGCAAGATAAAGCCTATAAACTTTTGGGATCTCCTGACATTGCCATGAGGTTCAAATTCTGAGTTTTTGGTAAAAGTGTAATTCTGTGCAAAGTGGGCCAGAATGCTAGTATGCAAATGTAAATACCATGTGTTGGGAAAACTAAATATTTGATTTGGCGTACTGAATAATGTGGTAGTTTCGGTATTAAAAAGGATTGCGGTAGTCCTGGTAATAATGCAAGTGGAAGACAGAGGTTCAAGTCTTACCGATGCAAACTATGTCCATGAAGCCGTACATGCCGTAGCATATCTGGAAGAGGAGATCCTGCCGCTGCCATTTGGCTGAAGGGCTGAGAGAGGACCACACCAACCAGGAGATGCTGGCGATGAGGAACAAAGAGCCCAGGATCATGGCCGCAATCTGCACCTTCTCAATCACAGTCAGAGAGAGGGCCTGCCACTAGGAAAGACAGAATGAGACCCAAACATGTACCTGAACTGTAGATGTACATATCAAAATGTTTCTTAATTATGTAAGCCCCTGTAATGATGCAAGGTTTCTCCGTTTCTGTAATGAAAAAGTTAACACATGCATGCTTCAAAATGGAAAAGAACACCCGTATTTCTACATTAAGCACACTAACAAAGCAAA